TGAGGGTATAAGTTTTTTGCCCTTTTAAGTATCATTACAGGCTCCTTCAGGGTGTTCCTGGAGTACTTCCATGCCCCAATTGCAGAGCTGGTGCGGCAAAAAGGTGTGCAAGCCACTATTCTCTCAGCCTCACTCCTACATGTACAAGCACCTGCAATATGGGAATAATATTGATCTGCAGTGACTGCTGTGAATTCCAGAGAAGTAGCTGTGTTAGTGTGTTGAAGCAAAGTTTTGCAACATCTGAAGACTAAGATTGTGTAGTTCATGTCACATTACAAAAACATACGCCACAATAAATCCATTTTTAAGGTACTATAGGGCTCCTTTAGGGCTGCTTAGGTATCACTGAGATAATGTATGAATTGCTTTGTACACTCAAAGTATCTTGCTTGCTAGCAGCAAGGAATCCTTAACTATGACAAGTAGCTGAAGGTGCATCTTCAATGCATCTACCAAACAGCCTACAGCTGAACCCACATTTTAGGAGCTGTGTCATCCACTGCTACTAACTGCTACTTTGCAAGTGTCCAGGCATTCATCTGCTCTGCCTTCCTAGCGGCACTTAAAGAGATTAGGGTTTTACTTAACACAGCTTTGGAAGTGATATAAATTATCTGTCCCCAGTTTCAAATTTATGGGAATCAACAGCAACAACTATCAAGCAACAATAAAAACTTAGCATTTACACACCCACAAAAATTCTTACAGCCCTCCACAAGGTAGGCTAACGTTCTCAGCACAATGAGGTGAGGCAGGAAGCCTATGAGAACAACATCCTGCCTAAGACAACCTGATGAGGTGAACTTTGAACTGGTGACTTCCTGGCTCAGTGCTGATTTGATGTTCTCAGTCTCTCAACTACAGGCAGGACCCTGGCTCAGCCCTTGCTATGAGCATTAGGTGCTCTTCCAGCAAGTGATACAGTGTTACAAAGACCAACTAAAACACTGCAGCAACCAAGGAATAGACTACAGTGGAACCTCGGGTTAAGTACTTAATTCGTTCCAGTGGTCTGTTCTTAACCTGAAACTGTTCTTAACCTGAAGCACCACTTTAGCTAATGGAGCCTCCTGCTGCCGCCGCGACGCCAGAGCATGATTTCTGTTCTCATCCTGAAGCAAAGTCCTTAACCCGAGGTACTATTTCTGGGTTAGCGGAGTCTGTAACCTGAAGCATATGCAACCTGAAGCGTATGTAACCCGAGGTACCACTGTATTGCCAGTACAGTACAGTGGTACTTTGGGATTCGAACGGGAATCCATTCCGGAGCCCCGTTCGCATCCCGAATGGAACGCAAGACGCAACGGCACGTCTGCACGTGCCGCGTTTCACCGCTACCCGCGCATGATGTCATTTTGAGCATCTGCGCATGTGCGAGCGGTGAAACCCGAAGCGCATTCAACTCGAAGTATAACTGTATACCAAATGTACCCCTAAAGTACTCCAGACAAATTTAACTACTTAACACTACAACTCTTCCACCATTTCTTTTCCTTCAGCTGCCTGAATGAGTTTTGATTTGAATCCACCTTGCCCTTGATTTTAGGTGTATTTCCCCTTATCTGGGATGTTTAATTTGTTAACTGTTTTATTTTACTGTAAGCTTTTTTAGGACCAAAAGAAGAACTTACATATTCCTAAGAAATTAGGAACCTTGGCCCCAGACTCCTTAAATGGAGTATTAGACAAAAAGCCTTCTCTGTAGAAAATAAAATAAAATTATCAGGATGCTAGGAAGATCATGCTTTATGGTTATTTCATCTCTGAATAGCTGTTCATAAGCTCCCAGGAAAGAGTACAAATACAATAAAATAAAATAAAATACAGTATAAAATGCACTACTTTGAAAAAAGCAACAACTATGAATACTTTACAACCATGAATACTTTCAGTACAGCACAAACCAATTACAAAGTGCTCAGCCCCAGATAACATTCATCTCCTGAAGTAGATGCAGCTTCAACTAAAACTGGAAATTTATCAATGAAGGGGACATCCGTACCTCCACAGGAAGTTACCGTAATTCCACAACTGAGGTGCTGCAACCAAGAAGGCCCCATCTCGCGTCACCACTCAACAAACTACAAGTGTTGACAGGACAAACAGGAGTTCCCTCGCAATAGGGCTGGGCGATATATTGATATATCGCCCAAAACTGGTCTGAAATCCATATTGTTATATCAGTTTCATAATTTTTGACTTGGCAATATATCATGAATCATGATGTGTGTGTTCTATACAAAAATCACAATGCGGTGAAAACCATGAAGCCAGCCAATGCCTCTACACAGCTCCATCCATCATGGGATATCAGTATATTGCGATGTTTAGCTAGTGATATTCTATCACGATGCTGAAAATCGGGTATCGTCCAGGCCTACCTCACAGTTCTCAAAACTCAGGTCAATAGTTATTGAAAGAGGTGCTCCGTTAAAGACTTGTGTCCTAAGTTGTTCAGGGCTTTATACACCAGTCCCAATACCTTGAATTGGCCCCAGTATTAAAAAGGCAACCCGGGCAGTTCTTTACACAGCAGCAGTACATGATCCCATTTTGCTGTTCTACTTTACTGCTTTTTAATACATACGTGATACAAGTAAAAGTCAGAGGATAATCAGGGAACAGATTCCTCCATAGTTTGCAAGTGTAGGAACTACCTGTTCAGAATGCCTGCTTTTGAGGTGGTTTGGCAATACCCCCTTTTCCACATGGACTTGCAGGAAGAACAAAGAGCCAAGCCATCCCATGCACAGAAAACATATGAATATAATAAGTTGCCTTATACAGTCAGGCCATTGCGCTATCTAACCCTGTACAGGCAGCAAGCAATTTGCATGGGGGTTACGTTCCGGCTGCCCTGCCCTGTCCCTTTTGTGACACTTCCGAGTTCGATATGATGCATGTGTATGCATACCTAAAATGGTTGCTGCCTGTACTTCAACTTGCTGCAGCTCACCAGCGTCTCAGATAGGTTTTAATTTCCCACCGTGAGGATTAGTGCCGAAGTTGTACATCCATCCCCCGAAACTGGAGCTGAAATTGTGTGGATGTGCCCATCCAAATTTGACACACACAGACTTTTCCAACTTCCTTAAGTCAACACTTAACTTAGAACTTAAGTAAGATGCAGAAACCAAGCCCAGAGTGATGAACCTGAGCAGTGTTCATCTGACCTCCTGGCAGCAGAGCTGCTGCTGTTGCTTACAAGGAAGAATGGGGAGATCATTGCTGGGCAAATGTGCTGGCTGAGCCGATATGGCACTCCTGTCAGTGGATCTGCATAACAGAAACCTCCTCCCCTCTTCTGCTACTGGGCCTCAGAAACCAGATGTTGCTGCCTACTCTAATTATTATGCCAACTTGTAATAGTCACTTGTAGAGAGTTCAGATCTCCTCTATTCAGGGAAATTGTTAACTGGAACACTTGGTGTGGTGTTGCACTTTTTAATGTTCTCACTGTGCCTGCAATGACCACCAGTGTGCGAGAACAGGAAAGTAATTTTTGCAGGACAAATGTTTGTGGGGGTAGAGAGATGCACAACTTCAGTCCTCCTCTGCAAACACACATAGAGTTTCATCTAATGTATGAAGACTATCAAGAGTAGCTATTAATACCACTTTGATATCAATGCAGAGGTAATAAGGATAAATAATCCAAAGTAAAAGCCAAAGATGGTTTTGGGGTTTAGAGGAAGCAGCACAGCTCTAAAAGGCTGTAACAGGGATGATCTTCCCATGCAGAAGATCCCAGGTTAAATCCCCAGAATTTCAACACATTGGGTTTCAGGTATCAGGGCTGGGAAAACCCTCTGCCCAGGGCCAGAAGGTCCACTAAGGTAGCTGGTATAAGGAAGAGATAGAGAAGCTGTGGCCCTCCAGATATTGTTGGAGTACAAGTCACATCACCCTCAGCCCCATGGCCAAAAATCAGGGATTATGGAACTGGGAATCCAGCAACAAGTGACTGCCACGTTTCCCATCCCTGGTATAAGGCAACAACTTGTATCTTACTACACATTCAGAAGTAAAATAATTTCAGAAACCGCCAATCTGTCAGAGTGACTACCCATGCAAACATTCTTTACTGTTTCATATTGTTACTCTGCAAAATTAGCCCAGGAGTGCACTTGTCATGCTGTGTGAACAGACTCAAAAAGAGGTTTGAACGCCCAGGAAGACCTCAATAAAAGCCAAGTAGAAGTTTATCAAGGGCGGGAATGTAAATTTAGAGCCACACAGGCCCTCAAAATACTCCCAATATCCACCTTCTGATGTACTTATCACGACTCCTGGGAGCAGAAAGCAAAGCCCCGAATGCCGACAGGGACACCGACGGCGGGCCTTCCTACCCCACAGAGGGGAAAGGAGACGGACACCTCACAAGCGCTGCCTCTTGGCGCAAGATGGAGCACCTCGCCCGTAGGGAGGAGAACTGGGGACACCTCACCCACCCGCCCCAAGGGATGGAAGGGCTAGAACTGGGGCCGAAGCCACGCCGGCACGGTCGGAATACCTGGAGCCTGGGGCGTGGGCGCCGGGGAGCAGCAGTGAGAGCTGCCGGAAAGGGAGGAAGAAGCCGAGGAGGGAGAATCGCCCGACGACCCGCCCTCCTGTTGGGTTATTTATATATCTCCCCTCACATACAGACGTATCGTGAAGGGCTGGCACTTCTCTCCTGCCTCAAACTCACGGGGGAGACTCCCTCCTCCTGCTGCTTAGAGGCGGCCCAGAAGGGCAACAGAATACAGCCCCGGTCTCAGCGGAGCCCCCGCCCCACGTTCAAGGGACGGAGCGCGAAGGCCTCGCTGGAGCAGCGACGCCAGAGGCCGGACTGGGGTGCGGAGGAGACCCGGGAGAGAAGGGCCGAAGAGGCCCTCAAGGAAGGGAGGAGACCCTCTCGCCGCCCACCCCGGGAGCCCAGAGAGGGGGAGGGAGAGGCGCCCGAGGAGGCGCCCCATGCCCGGCGCAGGCCCTCCCCGCCGAGCGCTTAGCCTCACCCATGCCTGCGTGCGTCCGTCGCTCTCTCTTCCCTCCAAAGGCGGCGGCAGCGGCGGCGGCAATATGGCGGGCGGGGCCGGAGCGGTGGGCCAAGCGGACGCGCCGGGAGGCGGAGGACGGGGCCGAAAGGGAAGCCGACGGCGGCCGAAGCGGGACAGAAAGCCTCGGTGGCACCGAGCGCCCGAGACCGGCCCCTTCCCTGAGCACGCCCCTTTTTTAAAGAGACAGTTGGGCGGAGCTGAGGGCGGGGCGTGGGGAGGTGGGCGGGGCGAGGAGGAAGAGGCCGGCTTGAGACCGGGACAGGGCGCTTCGGGCGGGATGCAGGAGCGGGTGAAATCCCGGCGGGGCAAGCCGTGGCAGCGAAAGGAGACGGGCATCTGGTGGCCGCTTCGAAGGAGGCAGTTTTTGTTGTGGCCTGAATCTCCGTAGGCGAGGAGAGCCCGCTTCCTCCGCTGCGTAAAGTGATAAGACGGGATGGGTGTATTTGTATTTGACGAGAGTCAGTCCGTTAAATTAGTCGATTTCAGATATTTTGACCGTTTCGGAAAGAGGCCTCCTCCCCCCCACTAGTTAATCAGTGCTTTAAAAATACAAGAACTTTAAACACCATCACAAAATTATTTCCAGCAATATAGTCCTGTTAGCCTCTTGCAGCACAAAGAGTGGCACCTAAAGGCTAACAAATTTATTATGGTATAACCTTTTGTGTTACTCTGAATTATAGGTCAGAACATTATGCATCAGCTGAAGTTGACCGTAGGTCATGAAATCTTGTGCCACAACAAATCATTTACCCTTTCAAGTTACCACTCTTTGTCACCTAAAAAGAGACATTCCTCCTCCTCCTGGGCAGGAGGGACCATCTCTTCTAAGATGAAGACTGCACACATAGAATCCAAAAATAAAAAACCCACAACTTTTTTGAAGTGCCTCTTTCGAAGTGAAGTAAAAAACAGCTAAAGAGTGCAGTATTCAGTTGGGCACTAGCTCCTTCCTTTATTAGAATATTTTGTGCCCACCTTTGGTACCCAAAAACAGAATACAAAACAGAGCATCTATTTAAAAATGGGGTGGGGGGGTGTTGCACATGTGAAAGGCTATGAATGCAAAGCCACCTGCCACCCACCAGGGGGGTCTCAGCAAATGGTTGTAGCATTTAGGCAGTCTCCTGTGTGGCCTTTTAGATACCAATTAAATGGTTCTCACAATGAACTGGCACCCAGTAGAGCTGCTTGAGAACAAGTTTTAAAAGTTCATTTCAGCTGGGCCAAGTTATTAACCTCACTACTGTATTTTGAACTGGCAGAAGTTTCTCAGAAGTCTGCAAAGACAGCCCGTTATGTAACACACTGCAGTAGTCTAGCCTGGAGGTTAATAGTGTAGACATACATGGCTCAGATTATTTCTGTTGCAGAGTGGGGCAGTTTAGATGGGGATCATTTTATGTCAGATGTGCTACCTGGATTGTCTTTAATGAAGTAGAACTTTATCAAGTAAATTAAAAATCCAGTAGCAATATTGGATGCACGAAGAGCTTTTAAAGGAACTACAGAATTGTAGGTTTAGAAGGGACCCCCTGAGGGTCACCCAGTTCAATCCCCCCCCCTTCTGCCCCACAATGCAAAAATCCTGCTTGCAGCTATCCCTGGGAGGGCTCGAACCACCAACCTTCTGGTTAACAACCACACCCATTGACCCATTGTGCCACTCAGGCTGTGAACCTGCCTCAGGTGTGTTTGTATGCACAATCTCATCCAACGCAAACTTTTCCACTCAGATGAGCCATCCACCAACAACACTGCCATCCTCTTAGGATGGAGCCTGTTTATTAGCCGTCATCCATTACTGACCCCAGACACTGCTTTAGTGCTTTCACAGCCTCCAAGGCATAGGAGAACTGAGTGTTAGCAGCATGGGCGGAATTAATTTTTTAAGAGAGAATAAGTGCTTGAGCTTCCATGCAAATAAAGCTCTCTGACAGAGGAGCTATCCCTCCAAATCCCAGCAAGGGTTTGGGGACAGGGTGGTCATGGCAGATGGCTGGGCTTACGCATCAGGGAGGGAAAGGTCCAGTTGCACCCTTTTATTACCTGCATGTCCTGGGGCTGATTGCACTCCCCTCTGCAGGGTTGATACGGGGAGGGGAGCAGCAACAGAGAGAAACGAAGCAGAACTCCAGGAAGGACACCCACAGAAACATTTTAAGGTGTCCTTTTATTAAAATGTGCGTCACTGTTCTGTGTGGCTTGCTTTGCTGTTGTCCGGCTGTCAGTGTGTTTCCTGGGACAGCCGCTGTGGCCTCAGCACTCGAGCCCGACCTAGGGGAGCCTTCAGGTGGTTCGTGGCCTGTGGCTCCCACCCATGGCAATGTAGACGTCAATGGGGACGTTGGGCAGGGTCAGGCAGTGGCACCCTGGACATCTTCGCAGCTGCCTGCCCAAAAGACAGAGAGAGTTGATCCCTGCATTTGTTAGGAGCTGCATATTCATATGCACTATGCAAAATGAAATGTGTCCCAGAATGTCATTCTGTTTAAAATAAAATAAAATCCAAGTTCCAATTTCAAACAGAACTTAGGTGCTCCACTTCACTAACACAGGCAATCGTTTCCATGTGTGGAGCTAGTTAAGTGGGTGCAACTCACCAGGACCCATGATGGGAGGTGCTCAAGACAAGGACAGATTCCTCTAGTTATCATTGTTGCACCAAGTCTTACCTTTGGGGACACATTTAGGAAACCACTAGGAGCAGCAGAATGGGAAGTGCTGCTTAACACAACCTTCCCCCCCCCCGGTCCCCCCCTTGATGTTTTGGACTACAGCTCCCATCAACCTCTGATTTGAGTTGTAGTCCAAAACATCAGGAGGGAACCAAGTTGAGGACAGCTGGATATTTGCCTGCACAAGCCCCACCGGACTAAATGAAATATATTAATTAGCACATGGCAGGGTGGGGGGAGATACAGATCTGGATTTGCCACTTCAGGCATCAAAACATTGTGGGCCAGGGGAACGTCAATTCCAGATTTTCCCATCTACCTTCAAAATGCTGCACAGAGAGCGTGACTAAGCACAGTACAGTTGTTGTTGTTGTTAATCATCATTATTTATATTTGGATCCCACGTTTCCTCCCAAGAGATCAAGGTGGCTTACATGGTTCTCCACTCCCATTTTATCCTCAAAACAACCCTGTGAGTTAGGTTAGGCTGAAAGTGAGTGAGTGGCCCAAGGTCACCTAGTGAGCTTTATGGCTGAGAGGGGATTTGACCCCTGGTCTCCCTGGTCATAGTCTTATACTTTCTGTAGACATCTATTGCCTGTTAGTTTCCCTACCACCAGGAAAATAATATATTTTATCCACTCCACACATATTTTCTTGACCATTTCTATCCCTCATCAGCTAATTTATTCTAACAGCCCTTCATCTGGTCTCTGCATAAGCTGCAGTCAGGCTGGCAACTGACAACTGTTGACTGAGCCCTGTGAGGTTTGCATATGACTAGAGGTAATTTGCTGCTAAATTACCAAAGGACGATCCAGAGCAAATTTAGTGTCATTTCTTCTGCACTGCCTGATGGTTTGGGTGTACAGTGGTACCTTGGGTTAAGTACTTAATTCGTTCCGGAGGTCCGTTCTTAACCTGAAACTGTTCTTAACCTGAAGCACCACTTTAGCTAATGGGGGGTCTCCCGCTGCAGCCGTACCGCCAGAGCACAATTTCTGTTCTCATCCTGAAGCAAAGTTCTTAACCTGAGGTACTGTTTCTGGGTTAGCGGAGTCTGTAACCTGAAGCATCTGTAACCTGAAGCGTATGTAACCTGAGGTACCACTGTAATTAGTTCTGTCCGTACGGGCCAGTCGTGTCCGACTCTAGGGTTGCGTGCTCATCTCGCTCAAGAGGCCGGGAGCCAGCGCTGTCCGAAGACACTTCCGGGTCACGTGGCCAGCGTGACGAAGCTGCATCTGGCAAGCCTGCACCAGCACAGCACATGGAAATGCTGTTTACCTTCCCGCTATAAAGCGGTCCCTATTTATCTACTTGCACTTAGGGGTGCTTTCGAACTGCTAGGTGGGCAGGAGCTGGGACCGAACGACGGGAGCTCACCCCACCGCGGGGATTCGAACCGCCGACCTTACGATCAGCAAGTCCTAGGCACTGAGGTTTTAACCACAGCGCCACCTGCGTCCCACTCTTGCTTGGCTATAGCAGAGACTAAACCTGGGACCTTCTGTGTGCAAAGGAAATGCTCTTGCCAACTGAGCTACCACAGCCCTTCTCCTTCAGCTGTGGTGCCAGGGCTGAATCCTGCCTGTCGCACTGTGAAACATTTCCTTACCTTGTTGCAGTGCGCTCAGGGGCAACTGGCTCCTGTGTTTCGGGGGCAGTCGCCAGGCTGGGAGAATCTCCTGCCTCTATTGGAAATCTCCGAGCTTGTGGGGTCTCTTGGGAGCTCATGTCCGAGCCCCAGACCTGTCTATGGAAGAGAAGGGTTCAGTGGGACATCCCTCTGCCCCTGCGCCAAGCCCATCCACCTACTCCAAAATGCCAGCTGGGTAAGCAACTCAAGGAGCATCACACACCAGCCTAGGAAGCTCCTGGTTCTTCTGAGGGTCCCTTGCCCCACTCTCAGGCCTCACAAGTGGGTGCTCAGAAGACATATCTGCTGATACCAATGAATTCTTTACTCCATTGGTTCGTTTTAGGGTTGTGATCTTTTGAAAAATACTCTTAATGTCTACAGTGTTTTTGTATATGCTGCCTGCTTAGATAATACATTGATATGTGAGTCACAGAAAGGGAGGGGAGCAAGAGAGAATCTGGTTTATGTGATTGGAAATGCAGCAATAGTGTGTTCACAAGGGGGAGTGGATCCCATGTATTTGTGCATTGCTAAACATCCAATAGTTCTACATTTCTGACCACGTATGAAAGGACTCAGAGGGGTGCCAGAAGCTGCCTGGAAGCCCCAGCCAACCCCATACTTCAGCTGCTAGGAAGGTAAGTGTCTGTCTTCCTGTTCCTGTCCGTCCCCCGTCCCCCCACGTACTACAGTATGGCTGCAACATTATTTAAAACAACTTCACCTTGTACCTTCAACCGAAACCTGACACAGAAATTTTTCTCCTGGTGTGGAGAAAAGTTCGCCCCAGGCACTCTAAGCAGACTCCAGGCCAGCCCAGCCCAATACATTTCACTGCTCCTAAGGCAAAGGGCAAGAGGACAGCCGCTACCCATCCTGCAGAGGAAAGTTGCTGGGCTTGCAAGTGAATCACAAGCAAGAGGGTGGTGTCCTCTGCTGCACCCAAGGCCCCAGGTTAGTTTGGGGGGGGCAGGGCAGACCACATAGCATGAACAAGTCCAACCAAGGGGAACAGCTTGGGGTGTTAAGGAACAGCAGCTGAGGGACCACTGCTATTGCCACTGCCCCCCAGAATCTACCACCTGAGGTGGTCGCTCCATTCTGCCTCATGACAGGGCCGACTGGTTCCACTCCTGCTTTGGTTGAGTATTGTTTGGGTGGCCCCACCATGGGATGCCTGGAGTCTGGCATCCTGGGCCAGCCTATTCTTCTGTCTTGCCCTTGGCTCCTCCGTCCCAGCCTTACCTATCAAAGGCGGAGGAGTGCTCCCTAAGAGTCTACTGGGCAGGTTGAAGCGCCTATTGCAAAGGGCAGGCTGGGACGGAGCCCAGAGGGAGGCAGCGGCTCAGCGGCATTGTGACTCGGAAGGGCTACGCTTGCATCACAATGCATCCTGGCCTTCTCTCTGCTGATGGTCTCCAGGGCTGGGAATCCTAGGCTGAAAGCTCAGCCCAAGCCAGCCTGGCCCATTCCCTTCCTAGCCTTGCGGACAAGGAACTCAAGAGTCACTTCTTGCTCTCTGACAATATCCATCCATAATGGCATCAAAATCTGGGACGTTTGTGAGAGGACAATCTCATTTACATTCGCAAACCAGCCAACCCTATATGCTTTGCCCCTATTGTAGCACCAGTGTCTTCTATTACCCCCAGGTAAGAGCTTCTTTATTCATATCAGCTGACAGGCTTATATGATACCTCCAAGGGTTCGCAGTTGCTCAGCTCCTAGCAATTTTCCCTTTAACAAACCCTCCTCCTCCTCCAGCCTCTCTAGTGATGTGGCTTTCAGGTCCTCCTGAGGCACAAAGGTGATGCTAGAAAACCTGTCTCTCTTGTCTTCCTTAACATGTGGCGCTGTATGAAAATGCCCACAATGCCTTAAAGATGCCAAGCAGAAGTTAGGACTCCACCATCACGGGTCTGTTTAGAGCAGGGATGAGGAACCTGTGGCTCTCTAGATGTCCTTGCGTTGCAAAGTTCCCTTTGTCCATGCTAGCTGGAGGAAGGGGAGCTGGAATCTACCAATGTCTGTTCGACCACAAGTTCCCCATCCCTGGTTTAGAAAGAGAAACACCAGTCTTTACCTAATGGGTAAGGGAGGGATTAATTTTGGTTTCTAACTTTCTAGTGTACAACATGGGCCTTGAAGATTTCATTTGAAAAACCACTTACAATGGGTATATTTGTTTCCAAACTCCAAGTTATGTCATCTCAACCCTTCAGATCTTGAGTTATTCATACATTTAACATCATAACTGCATAGTTCCAGGTCTTGCTACCAGCATACAAGATGGTGGTCTTCAGTTTGCCCAAAAGCACCAACATCAAAGCCCAAAGTGCTATCAGGCAGCCATTATTACAGAAGTCCAAAGAACAAACTTACTGTTGTGTTTTCTTTCAGAAACTGATCATCTTCCTTATAAAGATCTGCTTGTGCTGCTGGGACCTTTTAGCTTATAAAAAATGGTAATTGTGAGGGGTTCTCTAGTTAACAGATGGAGAAAAACAAGAAAAAACAACCCATCAGACCCTGATACACCTGGCTGGCCCTTCAGAAGGCATAATGCTCAGCTGGGTGGCCTACTGGGGTTAAAATTAGTTTTGGGGTTCATCTTGACAGAATATTGTGCCCTGTTTTTTTTTCAAATTCTGGAAGCTCTCTGTTGTGCACACAAATAGGTATGCGGTCATAATTTTGGGAAGTGTGTGTGTTCTCTTCCTTTCAGAGGTTCCAGATGAAACACTGCTGTCTTAGAGGGGATGGGCAATGAGACTGGATACATTGCCAAAATAGGGACTAGCACTAGCCGCTATCCTCTTGGAGAATACAGTGAGTGGGAGGGTGAAGGAGCTGTCATACCCTCCAACATTCCTCAGAAAATAGAATGTCCCTATTTTCTGAGAAATGTTGGAGGGCATGCTATCTGGCCAGAAGGGTAGGATATTGAGGAGTGAGGGAATAGAGGAGAGGCAGTGGGGATGGCAGTGGAGGCCCACCAGCCTGCTGTAGGCCTTCAAGGACAGGAATAAAAGCAGCCGCATCCTTCAGTTTCTGTTTGGATAGTTCTTCCTTGGGGGTCTTGATGAGTGAGAGAGCAAGTTATTTGGAGCAAAGCCCCTGCTTGGCTTCTGGCTGCAAATGCCTCTAGGGCATCTCTTCCTGTGCCCAGACCCAACCCATGAGGCTACTGTACCACACTGGCTCTCTCTGTGCTGATAAGTCCCATTATATATCATAGATGAGTGATTCGAAGTAGACTACGGACTGATCCCCAGCAATTCCAGCAGCCACAGGTGCAATTCCCAATGTGGTGTTCACAGATACAGAAGCACATGCAAAGCCCCCCTCCTGCAGCGTCCACAGGTTCCCTTCTCTGTACTTGAAATTTGGTTTGAATGAAGCATTCTGCTGTAGCCAACAGAACATGTTGCGTTGTGTGTGGCACCCACAACAGATTATCTGGTTTGCAGATGTGTCCAACAAACTTTTATCTTAAGGAAATCATCTCACTGAATAAGAAAATGGTTGAGGGAATTAGAATACTTACTCTTAAGAGTTGCCTGACGTAGTTAGACCCAAATCCTGCCAAGTAGCCTCAAGCCAGCAGACTTCCATGATGGGGAAAAGAAGACTAACTTAATTGTCCATGTTCACCCTGGACAAATAAAGAGGTTCACTACACTACAGTGTGGACTATATTCATCTCTTACCCAAGGCCTCAAAGCTGTAGGCCTCTTGGCAGGTTAACCCATCACCCCCCTAGAGGGCACTGGAGGATGCTGAGGGCTTGGGCAATGCAGGCTCTCCAAGGAAGCATGTCTGCTTTCCTCCCATTGGTGCAAAACTACTACCTCCAGCCGGGGGTCCTCAGGTAACACAAGGTTGCATCACAATGGGGGCTCAAAGTTTCAAGATGTCCAACCTCAGTTTCACCCCTCATCAAAGGACCTTGTCTGGGCAGGAAAAATGATCTAGCATCCTGGGCTGCAACCAATGCAGACCCTGGTCTGGGAGGCGAAGGACGGCGATGTATATACTTTGTGGTGACATGATGTCCTGAGAATGACAGATGAGCACGTTAAAGACACAATGGAGGAGTTTCTTCTCTCCCATGGTTACCAGATGGGTAAAACCATTGGAGAAGGGACATATTCAAAGGTCAAGGAAGCTTTTTCAAAAAAACACCAACGAAAAGTGGCCGTGAAAATTATAGACAAAATGGGAGGACCAGAAGGTAAGAGCCAGGAAAAAGCATTAAGCACAAGACAGATAAGGTTCTGCCAGTTCACACACCTAAATCGAGGAACGAATAGGCCCAATAGGTTGTATTTTCCTCCAGGAAGCTGGGATCCTCTGGCACAATTGCCTGCAATTGTCATTGAAACACTCTGCAAAAGCATTGCCATTCCTCTGAACAGAGACTGGGCTGTCTTTGCCAATGTGGCTGACCAGATTGTTTTACTACAACATGTAGCAAACTGCTTACTACTTTGCAGGATTTGTCCTTTCTGCAGGTGCTTCACCAGAATATTTGGGGTGGGGTGGGGAGAAGATGAGGTAAGGACAGTGAACTAAAGATCCCTAAGAGCAAGCAGGAACAGCCTACTCCTCTATCTAGTCTGGAAATACGGGGCCCCTTTAAACATTACTCTAGTTTTGTCCAAATTGCTTTTATGCAAGTGGCTCTTGCGCAGCAAGGGTAATGGTAAAAGGAACCACCAAAACAGCAGGGCTGATTATGCAGCAACCAACAAAGGAAGCTCCCCATGGGAAGACGTCTGAGGTTAGTCCTTGCCCATGGAAGTGGCATTGCTATTCAGCCTGTTGTGGACAGTTGGGAAGGGGAGCGTATCACAGCTCCAGCTTTTTGCTGGAGGGCCAAGTGCCACAGAGCAGCTTCCAACCAGCTAAAACTGGTACACTAGCTGTGGCTTTTTCTTGACACATAGAGCCTGGCCATAGTTATCCACGGTCTGGCATTCTCCTAGTTACTACAATGGGTTGTGTGGGGACCAGCTTTGAAGATTGCTTGGGAAGGATGGTTAGTTCCAGACACAGCTGCAAGCTTCCTCACTAGGATCAGGTATTGGAAACACATTTCACCAATAATGGTCTCCACTAGCTCCTGGTGTGTTTTCAAGTGCAATTCTAGGTGCTAAGCTTTCAATCCATGGCTTATGATCTGGACGCCTGATGGAACATTCCAACATTGACCAGTCCAAGCCCCAAAATCTTTGAAGGTCTTCCTCATTCTCTTGTCTGAGGGGTGCTGAGTGGCAATTAGGGAGAGGACTTTTTTGGTTGTAACCCCTCTTTTCTCAGGGAAGCTTGCCCAGTACCTGCTTAGAGGTCTTTTAGGCACCAGGCAAACCCCTATTTATTTTCTCAAGCTTTTTAAAACTAGATAGTTTTTAACATTCATTTCTACTGTACTGTTTTAGCATATTGAAAGTCAGCATATAAATGCTTTAATTGAACCATACCTCCACCTATGGTGGGGGTTGTACTAGAGTGCAAGAATTTTGGGCAATGGTATTCAGAGAAATTGATAAGATTTTAAACTACCACTTTATCCCAACTTCTCAATTAGCCCTTTTATTTATATTTGCCCAGAGTGATAAAATTTGCATAATAAAGACTTGCTAGTACACCTGCTTATAGTAGCTAGAATGACTGTGGCACTGTTTTCAAATAATTGGGACAGGGCCAATCTTACTACTTGGTACACTGAAGTTTGGATATTGCCTGCTGGAAAAACTAATAAGCTATGAGTCCTTAGGGGCAAGAATGGATTTCATGCCTTCTTCGTCTGACTTTATTTCATTTGTAAGCAAGGAGGAACATGGCCAAGAAATCCCCCTCAGCCTATGAACTAATATGACTTATAGAGTATTCAAATGTCCTGAAACAAATGTAACAACTTTCCCTTGTATAATAGGGCACATATTTTGTAACTCTTTTTTTTTAACCATTACATCTATGCTGTAAATAGTTCCAGTTGCTACCTTCCACACATTCACATACCTGTGGTTTATTTATTATGGTTTATTTTATGTCTTTGTTTGACAGTGAGCTATAATTGGTGATGGACTATGTATATTGTCATCACGTCTTGTTTGAGAACTTCCCCGGTACTATCATGGTAATTAACAGAAACACATACCGTAATTTCCCTGGAGGGACTCCTGATTTAATTTTACCAGGAATGTGTAAAAAAGCTCTTCTCCAGCCAGCTTAGTTGCTAGTTAGCTCCTTAGTTGCTAGATAGCTAGTTAGTTAGCTATCTTTGCTTACTCTGTCATTTCCCTCAGCAGAGTTTATCGAGAGGTTCCTGCCCAGAGAGCTCCAGATCGTCAAGCGCTTGGACCACAAGAACATCATCCGAGTGTACGAGATGCTGGAGTCAACGGACGGGAAGATCTACCTGGTGATGGAACTAGCAGAGGATGGAGACGTGTTCGACTGTGTCCTGCAAGGGGGGCCCTTGCCTGAGAGCCGGGCCAAATCGCTCTTCCGCCAGCTGGTGGAGGCAATCCGCTACTGCCACAGCTGTGGCGTGGCGCACCGTGACCTCAAGTGTGAGAATGCGCTCCTGCAGGGTTTCAACCTGAAACTGACCGATTTCGGATTTGCCAAGCTGCTCCCCAAAAACCGGAAGGACCTGAGCCAGACATTCTGTGGCAGCACAGCCTACGCAGCCCCCGAGGTGCTGCAGGGCGTGCCCCACGACAGCCGGAAAGGTGACATTTGGAGCATGGGCGTGGTTCTCTACGTCATGCTCTGTGCAAACCTGCCCTTCGACGACACAGATATCCCCAAGATGCTGTGCCACCAGCAGAAGGGGGTCTCCATTCCTGGCCACTTGGGGATTTCCGAGGAATGCCAGGACCTCCTCAAAAGCCTGTTGGAACCGGACATGATCCTGAGACCTTCCATCGAAGAAGTGAGTTGGCACCCATGGTTAGCAAGCTCCTGAGAAAAGGACCGTGTCAAAAACTCTCCCCAAATAAAAGGGGACAGGCTGTTTCCAAAATGCTCACATATATTTTAACGTTATGCTCAGTTTCTGGTCTATCCTTGCCCAATTCTTTGCACACTTCCCCCTCTCACTGGGCAAATTTGAAGTGGCCCCGGCCTCCAGAGATATATGAACAAGAGCAGAGAGGTGTGTCTTCCCTTGCCAGTCTCTCTCTCTCTCTCTCTCTCTCTCTGCCATCCAAAGCTGCCTCCAATACAGACCAAGGGCATGTGTGATGACTCTTAAGGAGGGCGATTGGCTCCTCCCCAGCTGCCTCTTAAAGGCACTGTTTTCAGTGGGCATCCCACAGGAGTACTTGCTACTTTGCAAAAAAATATTCCATGTCAAATATAAAACCCTAAGAAGCTGTCTTATACTGACCAATCAATCCATCTAGCTCAGCATTTTCAGCTCCAGCCTAAAAGAAGAGGTAAAAAGCTCCAGCCTACACCAACCTGGTGCTATGAAAATGTTTTAGACTAAACAAAGGCAGGGCAGCAGGTTGGCAAAGGCTGCTCTAACTGACAGGGAGGTTTTCCCCAGGCTGATACCTCAAGAGCATTTTAACTGGAGGCCTCAGGCACGTAGAGCACAGGGTCTGCTGAGTGACAGCTCATCCTTCCATAGGTGATAGATATATCTAACAAGCTTCTGCAATCTCTTTGGCTACGAGTGGGAAAAGAGCAAAACAAGGCAACTAGAGCACTTGCAGCCAGAGGCCAAGCAGGGGCTGTGGATTACTTGCTCCCAAGAGTGCTCTTTCTCCCTTTTCATGAAGGCCCCAAGGAAGGAACTTTCCAAACAGAATCTGAAGGAAGCAGCTGTTTTTATTTTTGTCATGGTGGACCTAGAGCTGGGGCGGGGGGGGGGGAGGGAGGGATCCCACTGCCACTCCCACATTCTCTCCCCTCTTCAGCCACCCCTAAACACCTTGCCCTTCAGACTAGAGGGTACAGATCCTTCACCCTCCCATCCCACCATATCTTCCAAGAGTATAGCAGCTAGTTGTAACCCCTATTCTGGCAATACAGCCTGTCTTGTTGCACATCCCCTCTAAGACAGCAGTGTGTTATTTGGCATCTCTGAAAGGAAGAGAATCATAGAACGGCAGAGTTGGAAGAGACCCCAAGGGTCATCTAGTCCAACCTACAATGCAGGAATCAAAGCTAACAAATCTCTGGCAGGTGGGCAGCCAACCTCGGTTGAAAAACCACCACCTTCCGAAGTTGTTGATTCCACTGTCAAACAGTTATCAGCGTCAGAAAGTTCTTCCTAAGACTTTGAATCTGAACTGAATTTGAAAAAACACACACTTCCCAGACTATGGCTGCTACACCTACTTGCACAACAGGGTTGGCTGGGGGGGGGGAGTCAAGAAACCAATATCACCAGGCCATTTCTGTAGAACTCTTTTAATTGCTGTTAACGGCAAGTCTGTAAAAGGTTCAGGAGAAAGTCATCATTACAAAACTAAACAGCTGTTAGAGTCACTTCTTCACCCCAGCTAGAAAACAGTCCAGGGAGTTGCAGTATAATTTAAAAATGAGAGAATATTGCACAACCAAGAGAGAAGAAAATCAACTATGGAGAATTATGATGAAATCAGAGCCTCAGTGCTTTTCCCCAACCCTAATTGGGAATGAGCCTCGTCCCCTTGGCAGGCTACCTCCTTGAAACAGAATCTGGCTCTATACTACCATGCTTTGCCCCATCATCACACAGACACATCTAAAAAAGCAAGCTGACCCAGGAGCCACAGATGTCCCTTGACAACCACCATCCTTCTCGGACACTTGGGTTTGGGCTCTTCTAGGCAGATGTCACACCACTGATTCCTGGCACCCCTATGCTCTGCTAAACTCAATGCGATCCAGTCTTCAAGGGGATATAGAACATAGCTCATTTTCTAAACTATCTTCGTGTCCCGTGGCTTAGCCAGGCCCTCATAAGGATGATTAAGACACATCCAAAAGCAGCCCCCTCAAGACTGTGGTGGAGCTCGTACCTGCAAATGCAGGGAACATTCATTTTTGCACTATGCTGGAGAAGGGCAGTGGGGCACATGCTACCCTGCCCCCCCAAAATCTATCCTGTTTTTGATCACAGGAACAGAAGTGGCCTTATACCAGCAACTCAGGCAGAAGGTCAAACCCACCTCCTGCTGCTACATGATCTTTCCAAAGGGAGATGGCAGGGACTGAGACAGGGATGCAGCATGAATGTATGTGCTCTACCACTGATCCCCATTTCAGAAGCAACAGCTCATGTGGACCGAGGACAAACACAACAAGAAATACTGTGAACAAAGCAACCAAGAAACTTGGGTGCTTCACTCTCCTTAATCTGCTTTTAGGGTTGACTCTGTTGCTAGTTTCCCCCAAATGGGGGTTCATTTACATGGGCTGGCTCATACAGGAGCCTGCAAACATGTCTCCACACCATCAGAAGCCTCTAGGAGAGGTGACTGTAGCAGCTATAAATTCTGACAGCTACTAAGCGACCCATGGAGAGCCTCCTTCCAGCTCTCGCACAGCACTGCTGCGTGCTCAGTTGCTTACTTTCCTTTTGGCAGTGTTTGGCTTCCAATAGGAGCAGGAAAGAGAAATAAGTAGCAGGAACTTTCTTAATCCTGTCTGGTACTCTTAAGAAGCCAAGCACTGTTGAGAAGATGAATGAATGAGCAGCAGCAGTGTGAGAAGGCTGGAAGGGAGTCGCCTTTGGATGGCTCTGGCAAATATCAGATGCTTCTGAAGGCTCAACCACAGGGGCTCTGGTATGAAAGCAGCCTAGGAACCCCCCCCCCAGGTATATTGCATCACTGGGGAGGAACATAAGCACATTTCCTGTCACAGCTGTATGCACCAGAGAGATGCTGAACCTCTGCACAACTCCCATTTGTTTCAACGGAGTTTGTGCACGAGAACTTCCTAATGGAGAGGAAGCCCATTTCCATTTTGGACCCATTTTAGAAAAGCATGAACAGAGCTAATCAGTTCTGAGGTCAGAGATGCTCAAGTAGTTACATACGCTTTCAACTCAACTATGTTGTGGCAAGGAGCATATCAGGAAAAGGGATCGCACCAAAAGGAAACAGATATGCCTAGAGAAGGTCAGAGGGATGCGGGCAAGGAAGGAACACAGCCTTGTAGGCAGTTGTAGCTCTTGGCAAGGTTGGGGGGCAGGAGAGACCTCTCCCCAGGGATGGGGTTTTTCCAGAGGCTTGCTACATACTAGCCTTCACTAGGTTGGCGAAGGCTGCCATAGACAGAGATTGACAAATGCATCAGCCCAAGTGGGGGCGGGAAAGAGGGGCATGAGGCTTTGGCAAATGCTGGTCCTTCAACACTGACCGTCAGTGCTTCTCAGGGATGCCTAATAGCAAGGCCACCAGCAGAGGAGCTGCACTTGCACCATTCAGCAGCTCCACAGAAACTCACACCCAGCCCTTTTCAAAGAAGGTCTCAGCAGCACAACCCAGCAGGAACATCTCCTTCCACTTGCGTTCAATTCAGGGGAGCTTGTGCAGCAGATGCTCCCGCTAGTGTCACGTGCTGCTAAGCAAGGATTCGGCTTAAGATTTCATTTTTATTTTTTAAAAAGTGCTTCAAGTCCCAGAAAAGCAGAGAAGGAGCAGTTCAGGAGGGATAGGTAGGGATGAGAGGACTCTCCCAGCTTTTCAATGTCCTGGCTTCCTATCAGGCAGTGCAAGATGCTAAGGGAAATGGGTAGGAGCAATCAGACACCATGCTAGAGGGGTTGTCTTCTCCTTCTCTAAAAGCTTATTGGGTTTCATGAAAACACTCACACAGAAGGAGGCACAGCTAGGAAGTGGCCGGCCTAGTGAAGAACAGGCATAATAATCCTAATTATCTTCTAGAGCCCAGTCAGACTCACCTCACACCCACCCCAAACCACCATCAACTGACACCCACCTCAAACCGTGCCCTCCCCAAAGGAAAATAAATCCACACTGAGACAGCTCTGAGAGAAGCAATAGTCCAGAGGACCTACTGGGAAGATGCACCTATCCCTGTGCCCCACTCCCTCTGCCGAGGCTCTTCGGCAGCCCCACGTGATACCAGCCACCACCAGGATCCAAGTGTGGGTTATGGTCCAAGGTCCCCAACAGGATTTCAGCAGAGATGAGATGCAGCCAGCCCGGAACACATTTACACAGGAAAAAGGAACCGGTTGCTCTGTGGTTTAATTCACATTGGATGGTGCGGAGGGGGGAAGGGGGTGGGGGAAGATACCAAGATGCACCACAGAAGTGACGGCCCCATGTTATTCCCAGTCTTCCCATTCTTCATCTTCCATCTGCAGTAGGAGAGGGAGGGAGCGCAAGAAGAAAGGTGTTTTAAGGTAGGATGTTACAAAGAGACAAAGAGCAAGCACTGACCGAGGTCACACAATGATTGTGCACAGGATTACACCAAGAGCTGCCAGCAAATTAAAGCATTTTAAGTTGGTTGATCCTTTGCCTTGCAAAGAACCAACCAAGCAATCCAGTCTATGTGCTGCTGAAACATTATTAAAACCTGAGACCAGAAGCCATATATACAGTTGCAATCAAAATTATTCAACCCCTATTGCAAATCAGGTTTATTATCAAAATTTTACACTTTCAGCTGTTGGCAATGAGGAAATCAAACAAATACAGTGGTGCCTCGCAAGACGAAATTAATTCGTTCCGCAAGTTTTTTCTTCTTGCGAGTTTTTCGTCTTGCGATGCACGGTTTCCCATAGGAATGCATTGAAAATCAATTAATGCGTTCCTAGGGAAACCACCTTCAGACCAGGTCCGGGGACAGTCTGTCCCCCGACCTCTTCTGAAGGCTGGGGGGGGGGGGAACAAGGGCTTTTTCCCCACTGCCAGCCTTCAGAAGGCTGTTCTGAAGGCTGGCGGTGGGGAAAAAAGCCCTTCTTCCCACCTCCCGCCCCGCAAGCTCCGGGGACAGGAGGGCTTCGCTCCCGCCCGCCAACATTTTAAGATCGCCCGGGGCAGCAGAGACTTCTCGCCCAAAGCAAGGGGAGCTCTCCGAAGGGCTCCCCGTGCTTCGGGCGACAGGCTGCCGCCCCAAGCCTCGCGCACCCGGCGGGACCTCCTGCCGGGCGCGCGAGGCTTGCTGACACTCGCCCGAAGCAGGGGAAGCCCTCCGAAGGGCTCCCCGTGCTTCGGGCGACAGGCTGCCGCCCCAAGCCTCGCGCACCCGGCGGGACCTCCTGCCGGGCGCGCGAGGCTTGCAGACACTCGCCCAAAGCAAGGGGAGCTCTCCGAAGGGCTCCCCGTGCTTCGGGTGACAGGCTGCCGCCCCAAGCCTTGCGCACCCGGCGGGACCTCCTGCCGGGCGCGCGAGGCTTGCAGACACTCGCCCAAAGCAAGGGGAGCTCTCCGAAGGGCTCCCCATGCTTCGGGTGACAGGCTGCCGCCCCAAGCCTCGCGCACCCGGTGGGACCTCCTGCCGGGCGCGCGAGGCTTGCAGACACTCGCCCAAAGATTTTAAAATGCTGGGGGTCGGGAGCGAAGCGTTCGCTCCCGCCCGCCAGCATTTTAAGATCGCCCGGGGCAGCGGAGAAGTCTCCGCTGTCCCGGGAAGGCAGGCGGAGGGAGCAAAGACTTTTGCCCCCCGCCGGCCTTCAGAAGAGGTCCAGGACCTCTTCTGAAGGCCGGCTGTGGGCGAAAGTCTTTGCTCCCGACCGCCAGCAATTTAAAACAGGTCCCCGGAGATTTCCCTATGGCTTTCGTCTTGCGAAGCAAGCCCATAGGGAAATTCGTCTTGCGAAGCGCCTCCAAAACAGAAAACCCTTTCGTCTTGCGGGTTTTCCGTCTTGCGAGGCATTCGTCTTGCGGGGTACCACTGTACAATTGAAATAACTCAACCCCATGGATACTTCAAGTGGTTTCCCCAAATTCAGCTAAAATAGATGTGGCCTTGAAGATACAAGTGATTGGATCCCAGTCAGCCGTCTTGCCAGAGAGAACTAAAGCATTAAGATAGTCCTCCTCTTCCTCCCCTCAGTGCCTGGCAGCTCCTCTTCTACAAAAGAGCAGGCGTGGCATTTTTCTGAAGCACAAGGACATGCCTGTGTCCAACACAAGTCATGTACATGTTGGTGTCACAAAGGTGTGAGCAACAAAATAAAGAAAAATAAGGTCCTCATTGTCTCTTCTGAAAGCCCTCTTAAGCCTGCAACCCTACAACCCTTTCCCGGGAGTAAGCCAGTGACCAAACAGCAGCCTTTTTTCAAAAGGCCTTTGTAGTATGTTCTGCCACCATCCCAAGAACCCCAGGGACAGTCTTCTGGACCTGCCTGCCTGCAAGGACTCACCTCCCCAGAGATGTCCACCTTGGAGAGGGCCAACTGCACCTCTTCTTCAGTCATGTCCAGGTCAAAGTCCTTTTCCCAATCCTCACTAATATCTGTGCTGGAGCCTGAAATGAAAAGAACAGAGGCATCCCGTGCTCAAGGCTTTTGATGTACCACAAATGCCACAGCAGCAAGTAAATCACTAAACAACAACCAATGCACTCAAGGCTGTGCAGCATCCACACCTTTGTAGCCAGACCACACCAACATGGAAATGGGTGCCATTCCACAGCTGTCAAGGCTCAAGAGGGGCTTGCAAATGGGTAACTTTCCACATGCTAATGCACATTTACAGAGGGCTGAGGTTTGGCTCACTGAGCACTGTCCAGGCTACCCACCTTTCTTCCCATTGTTGGAAGGAGTGGATTTCCCACTGTCGGAGTTGAGTTCAAAGAGTCGCAGATCCATCGGCCCGTCCTCTCGCAGAGTCTCTGTCCTGCTCACTGGCTTGGCCTCCACTTGCTCCTTGGGTTGCTCTGGGGAAGGCTTTGCCTCTGGAGCAGCTGGGGAAGGATGTGCAGGCTCCACGGGCTTTGCGAGTGAGGTCTGCTCCTCTGCGGTAGCTTCCTGCAGCCTCTGAGAGATGTCCCCTGCCCCAGAGAGCTGGGCTCCAGTCTGTAAGGGCACAGCAGGTGAAGCAGCAGGTGCAGCAGCAGCAGCAGCAGTAGCAGCAGGGTTTGCAACCTGAGTCACCAAAGAAATGCTTTCGCTGCTTTCAGATGGAGTCACCTCTGCCGGGGCAGTGCTCAGCATAGCCCAGCTTTCCACCGATGCCTCTAGGGTCGGAGTGAGCACTGCTGCAGAGGTGGGGGAAGCTGGCTTCACCTCTTGGGGAGATTGCGAGCAGACGTTAGACTGGGAGGAGGATGACCCAAGGAATTCCTCTGCGGTAGAAGAGGTGAGAGAGTGAGGCAAAACGGGTGAGAAAATGTGTCACTGGTGACATTCATAAGCAGGGGGAAATGAGCAGTGGGAAACAAGCAGGGGGAAATTCTTGCTTTCCCCTCTGACTTGGTAAGGGAAAGACTGAACAGGAAGTTTTCCTAACAGCCTTCTGAATACTAATAATGCCAGGAGTTTCCCTCCAAAGAGAAGGTTTCTCTCCCCTGCCCTTCTCTTTTGTACTTCCTGGCGTGTTATTTCTTAGCAATGAGGGCACTACCATGCAATAAGCCATTTAATTTCCCCCTGCCAGGATGCCTGCAATTTTTTCTCCCAAACTTTAAAAATGTCCAAAAATTGTAACACTGCTAAGCAAAACAGCAACTAAGATTTTTTTGTGCAATAAGACAAGCAAAAACTTCATCTGGATTCATTAGTGAAACTTCAGGTGAGGGCCCCGTCTTTATATATATGCGTGGCTTATGTTACTCTGTACACAAATAGGGCTACATTAACCATCAAGGCAGACTAACCTGGGAATCCCCAAACAGAAACAGAGGAGGATGGGCAACTTGCCTAGAAAAACCCACGCTTGCACTGCAACCCAGAACAAAACTTTAGGGGGCTAGAGCATGTTTGCAGACTCCATCAGGAAAGGAGCAAATAGTGGCCCTAACCATGTTTAAATAGCCAAAACAAGCCCAGCTGCTAAGGAGGCAGCCAATATTGCAACTTTCGGCCCAATGAAAACACACCAACTCCAAATCTGTCTCCAGGAAGATTTCAAAATGCTGGTTCTCAACTATGTGGAGGCCTGAATGACCTGGGAACTGGTTACCTGAAGAACTGTCACCTGTCAAATAGATCTGCTCATGTCCTGAATTCATCAGCTGAGGCCTTGCTTCAATTAACTACACCTTCAGGGGTTAGACAGGTGGCTACCAAAGACAAGACCTTTTCTAGCATTGCACCAAAATGATGGAAGGCCCTTCCCCTTTACTATTCTTTTAGGCACCAAGTGAATTCTTCTCTATTGTCCCAATTTCTGGAGATAAAAAGCATGAGTGGTTTAGTCATTGTATTTGTTCTCAAGGCAGATGCTCTTCTGATGTTGATCTGAGTTTTATTTTGTATTTTATCCTTGCATGGTTTTAATTTGGCATGGAAGTTGCCCCAAAAGGTATTAGTGGAAAGATGCAGTAGGCATCATTTCAATAAATAAATTGTGCATAAAGTGCAGGAAACTATAAACAAAAGGGCCAGAAGACCCCTCCAGGCATCTTGCCCAGCTGAGAAGCAATTTCTGTTCACTAACCTTCTTCCTCTTCCCAGCCTGGCTCCTCTGAATGAACACTTTGTTCTGCCCGCTGCTTCAAAACCTCTCTCCGGACCTCCTCCTGGGACAGAAAGGAATTCAGATGGCTGTCAGAAGTTGTTCACCTGCTGACCAGGGAGAGGGCACAAGACTACCCCTGCAGGCAGAGTTCAAGAGCTCATACTCCTGGGTGAGAAAAGATTTCTGACAGCTGAACATGGGAAGGAAGGTGGCAAGCAAGGGGAAGAGAGGAAATACTTATAGAGCTAAATCAAAGGGAGATGCCCAAGAGTAGGACAGAAGCTTCTGGGGCCAGGCCTCAAGGCAAGCCCTCAATCCCCTGGAAGGTACTATGGGAAGTCCTCACTTGAGCATCAGAACAGATCAACAAGAACCCCATAGGCCTGAGTGTAAACCCTCATCTGCAGGTTTACCAGTTGGTGTTCATTGCTCATGATTCTGGCAGGCTGACAAGACTTGAGCTAACAAAGGCTTGACTTTAAAATGTCTTGGCACAAGCAAAGAGTTTCCTGCTAACAAACAATCCCTCACCATACAAAACAGCCACTCCTTCCACTTCTCCTTAGTTCAAGCTGCACTTTGCATCTAGACTTCCAAGTCATTTGAAATGTGACCACATATGCCGCCTTACCACTTGCATGCTTGATTCTTCCAACTGCTCCAGTCTCTTCATAAGGGCATGATTCCTGTAGTCTGAAGCAGCGGCACTCTCTTACCACTTCCCACCCCCAAACTGAGTAGGCCAGAATCTCAAAGAATTCTACAAGCCTAGGACATTTCCAAGGGTTCTGCTGTTCCACAGTGCAACTGAATGCTAAGTGACACACTGTCTGATTCAGGAAAAAAGACAGGAAGGGCTTGGCAAGCAAGCTGCATTAAGGGATGAGGTAGAAGCCACTCTGTGTGCCCACAGGTGCACATGAGAAAGACCTATAAGCATCTTTCCCTGAACTTAGAGCCTCTCTCTGGAAATGTGACTTAGAAGAAAGAAACTGTTGTACCCTCCTTCAGACACCCTTGTGTTGCCCCTTACTGCATCCTGCAATAGAGAAAAACTGACTCTGTCTCAGTCTCTCCCAGAGATAACCTCTACAAACTCACCTGCTCCAGCTGATGGACTTTGTAGAAGTAGCGTTGCCAGAATTCAGAATGGGACACAGCCACTGGCACCTGATGTCAATAGAAGGAAACAGAAGAATGAACAGGGATGCAGTGGATACAATTGTCTTAAACCAGAATCACATTATGGGAGTACACACAACCCCCTCATAGGTTCACCCAGGAGAGCAAGGCAGTTGTGGGGTTGGACTCCATAGCCCCATCAACACCAAGTGTGAGACAGGCCCTGCATGCATATACAGAGACTCCTCCACACTGGGGGGACTCTAATAAGACAGACTGCATGGCTGAATGTGTGTAGGGAATTATCCGTAGAGAGATTACGTCTGTAAGAGGTAAGAGAAGAAACCCCTAGATTTTAAGACACTGCTGCTCCCTAGAATCTTCTGTTAGGAACCAAATTTCCTGCATTCAAAAGCATTACACAGGAATTGCAATGGACATGTTCTGGAGCCCTGCCTCTTCCTTCAGAATAGAGAACAGCACCACCCCACAGATAAATGTGAGCAGCTAACTTCTAGAGCAACTGTTTGAAAACAAGACCCAGGAGATCAAGGGACTAAGCCACACTGCACCACCTTACCATCTTGGAGTAGAGAGAGCGGATGGAAGGGCTGTTCACCAGCAACTCCGAGATCTCCCCTTTCTTCTCCTCTAGGTTGAAGTGCAATAGCCAGGCCTCAAAGAGCTGAGAGGGTCCTGCAGAGGATGGAAGAAACACCACCATATCACAGCCGAAGTGGTACAATCAGCTTCCATATCTGAGGACTGGAAAGTGACCAACGTAACACCAATTTTTGAAAAGGGAACCAAGGGGGATCCTGGAAAATTGCAGTCTGGTTAGCTTAACATCTTTCCCAGGAAGACTGGTGGAAAGTATTGTTAAAGAAATCTGGAAGGTGGCAACACGAGCATGGGCCTTACTGTCATGGCTCCCTGTTTCTGGAATGCCCTCTCCAAGGAGGCTTGCCTGGCACCTTCATTACATTATCTTTAGGTGCCAGGTAAAAACATTTCTCTTCAACTAGGCATTTGGCTGATTATTATTCTATGACTTTTTAAATGTGTTTGTTGATTGTATTATGTATTTTGCGTTTTCATTTTGTATCGTGTTATGAACTGCCCTGTGACCTTCAGAGGAAGGGCCGTACACAAACCTAATAAATAAACAATAAAATTATGCGCAGAAAGTGGACAGAGAAAGGTTTTTGTCCCTCTCTCATAGCTCTAGAACTCAGGGACCTTCGATGAAGCTGAATGTTAGAAGATTCAGGACAAACAAAAGTACTTTTCCAAAAAGCATATATAAAATTCGCTCCCCCAAGAGGCAGTGATGGCTCTTGGATGGCTTTAAAAGAGGATCACACAAATTCATGGATAAAGCCCACAACAGCTACTAACCAAGATGGCCATGTTCTACCTCCACTGCTGGAGGCAGTATACTTCTGAATACCAGTTACTGGAAAACACTGGAGGGGAGAGTGCTGTTGCACTCAAGTCTGTCTTGCTTGTATGCTTCCTACAGCCATCTGTTCTGTCACTGTGAGAACAAGATGCCGCATCAGATGGGCAACTGGCCTGATCCAGCAGGCTCTTATGTTCTTAAATGGCCAAAGTTTGTTGGACAACAAACCAAAACCAGCACTACACCATGACAGACTGCAGTCGCTCAAGGAGGCAGTGGTGAAAATTGCGTTAACTTGTTTTTCCTGTAATGTATGCTGTGCTGTGCTGTGTGTGATTATGACAACGGGATTCCTGCCACACTGCTGCTTGTGAGATAAAGCTACTTTGGCAGTGTAAACAAAGTGACATGGACTTTAAGAGATAAAGCACAGCCTGCTTAACTGTGGAACTATAGCCGTGGATGAGAAGCCTTGATTTCAGTAAGTCTGCTATTTGAGAGAGGCTTATAGACAGAGATATATTACAGAGAGCTCAAATGGTGGGTGGGGGTTGGAAGATTAGACACATTGAAATTCTCAGGGTCTGGACATTGACACATCCACACCTTCCTGGCTTTAGTGGAATATGCTTTCTGAAAAAAGTACCCAAGGGTGCCATGACAAAAAGTAAAAGGGGCAGCCCCACTTTGGCCCCATCCCCATAACATAAGCAGCGCCTCTGCACACGAAAAGTTCCTTTAGCTATGTTCATTTGGCCTCAATGCTGTTGAGAGATCATGCAACCATGAATTTGTTCAATCCTTTTCTTTAAAGCCCTTTACAATATAGGTACCCCATGTTTAGCGACAATAAATCTCAAAAGTTAATTATGCCTTGTGTAAAACTGCTGATTCCTTTTACCTTTCCTGAACCTACCACCAAATCAAATTGGGTCATCCCAAATTATAGTATTATAGAAAGAAGAGGGGTGATTTTCCTAACCATTATCACGTCTTTGCTTTGTCATTCTTTTAAAAATAAAATTAATACCCCCCACAGGGAAATTACTCCTGTACAATGACATTGCATTACCAAGATAGTATTTGGCTGGGGTGTGTGTGTGTAAATGATACAAGAAAAACAAAGAAATGGTAGGCACGAAGGGGCCTCTTCAGCAGAATTCTCTTCCCAAAGAAACTTGCCTGGCACCTACAACAACATCATATTGGCACCAATTAAAGACTTGCCTCTTTCCCCAAATATATAATGATTATTTTCCCCCTCTCCTTTTCTTGCTGCTCTGGCCATTTTATTTTTCTATACATATACATATATATGTATACACACACACACACACACACACACACACACACACACATATATTACACACACACACATATATATATGCATGCTTTTCTGCTATATCTCATCTTCAACACATACTAGGCTACAGTCATACATAAACTAATAGAAAAAAGATAGCATAGGTATAAAACATAAACATATGGTAGAAATAACGTATCTATATTCTTCCAAGATTATTTAAATCCTCTATATCTTAAATTATTAAGTATGATCACTTTCAGTGCTTTGAATCTCCTATATAATTTTGGAATTTGTATTGTATCCTTTATTATTAATCATCTTGAGATTTTTTTGGCTAAGACAAGGAACAAATGAAACAACAAGAATACATAGATTCAACTAATTTCACAAAATGCCTCCCCACCCTCCAGCTGTATGTAGGTTTAACACTCCAAGCTGGCATCCTCAAAGCAGGTTTGGCAGGCAGGCATCCACCAGGAGACTTCCCACACATTTGTTTACAGTTCCTGCCCTTTCTTAAGGCACTCTGCAGACAGCAGAGGTCAGGCTATGTCATGGATGTAAAACCTCTGGCCTGTGGGCCAATCTAGGGGGTTGGCCCTCCAGGGCTGGGGTGATAAGGATATGGGCTAGCTAGCCTAAAAAGCTTCTACACCCCTGCATTACACTGTTCTTAGACTCAAGTTTCCATGGTTTCTGCCCACACACCTATTTTCCAGGCAGGATCTCAGCCTGCCAGAACTGACTCTTCTGACCTTAAAAGACCAGCATGTGTATGCAGCAGCTAATGGCGGGAAAGTGGAGTGCAAAACTATCCTGGTTGCCTCTCCAGGCCAAGAAGGTGGCAGGGTAGCTTCACCCTTGCCAGTCTGGTACAGAAGACTGTGAGGATAGGGGGAGTGGCAGAGGGTGGGGGAAAGCAGCAGGAGAGGGGAGGGGAAGGTGCAACTTGGCTTTTCATGAGAAGCAGGTGCCTTGCAACCCTTCCTCATTATTTGCAAAAAGTCCCACTTGCCAGAGGTCACCTGTGGCTGAGCAGGAATTCTGAGAATAGCCTCCCATGATGAAGCATAACGCTTCCACTGCATCATGCACCAATCCCCAACCTGTCACCCTACCTCCTTCAGACCTTTCTACTGCAGCACCCAAGCCTAGAAGTTACTTTTTCTTTTAGTAAAGCCTGCATTTCAAAATCTGGGCCATCCCATCAGGTTTTGCTTTATGAAAGCAAACAGCATGTTGTGGACTTCAGTCACCCTCCAGGTAGATAGTTCACCCAAACACTTCCCTGACTGTGCGGTTTTTCAGTCCAAATCAGCCCCCAACTTACCATCAGGTTCATTGCAATAGGTGGCTGGGTCAGACTGAAGGCTGTACAGCCGAGCCTGGAAGAGGACAGACAGGGAGAAGCATATGAGCACAAGACATTAATGGCGGGGACAGAGGCCACCTTTTGGGGGTAGAGGCTAGAGGCACCTTGGCACTGTCGTATAACTCTGTTGTTCCAGAAGGGGTCGCCATCAGGGTTATGACGTCACAGTCAATGGTCATATCTGGTGAAGGTGCAAATGTGTCGGAGATAACACCCAGGAAGTTGGAGAGCCCTTTTCTCACTTTCTCTGTCGCACCCGAGGAACTTTCCGTCTTCACAAAAACAAAGAAATTCACAATGAAAACTAATCTAAGGCAGAGGAACCAGAGTGGGCAGTATCCCACAAAGCCTAGCATTGCTATGGGCTTGATACACCAAATCAACAAAGAGAATAATGAAAAAAGTTGCGGGGAGAGGGAAATAGCAAACACAAATGAAAACCTGCCAGCCCTTCCCAATGACATGCATTCCTGCCCCTGCCTCTCCCTCCATTTCTGTTTTTGATGCCCACTCACAGCCAGCTTCTCCTTGACCACACTGGCAGTGGCAGCAATGGTGCAGGCTGTGTCATGCTGGACCACTTGCGTGAACTCGGTCAGGTCACGTTTCATGAACTCCAAGGCCTCTGTGGACTGTAACAGAGTGAGAGGAGAATATACTTATTGTTGGGTACATTGTGGTTGAATTTCCAATGAGTGTGGTAGTTAGCCTGGGTTGGGGGTTAACAATCAAAGAACACCAAGTGTTTATCAATCTAAGAGTGTGGCCACCAGGAGGAGAAAACAGAATTCATACATCCAAAACAATAAGAACCTGACAGCTCTTGTTCCAATCACCTCACGTGGCTTCAGGAGCATGTTCACAACTGATCCCAAAACAAGCATTTTTTATTCCAGTAACAGGTACATGAAACGTGACTGTGAGATGTGAATGCTACTCCAATGAACCAAAGTATTACCCTGGAAGATCAGGCCAAGGTGGGTCCATCTAGTTCAGCCTTCCCCAACCTAGGGTCCTCCAGCTGCTTTTAACTACAACTCCCATCATCCTCAAGATCCTACAGCCATGCTGTGTGGGACTGAGCTGTAGTCCAATACAGTTGGATAATACCAGGTTGGGGAAGGCAGGACTAGTTCAGTATTTCATTTCCAACAGCTAGCAAGCAGGTACCTGAGAAAGGCTCATAAGCAGGGGCACAAAGATCATGGCTTTTCCTTGGCACCTAATACTAAGTAGTATAATAAGCAAAGAGGTTTTTATTACAAAGGGAGTCATCAGTCATTAATTCAGAAATAGCCAACTTGATGCCCCCAGACCATGATGGACTCCCACCAGCCTCAGGCAGCATGGCCAAATATCAGAGTTTGAGCTGTGTCTTTCTGACATCCTCTTTCTCTAGTTTACCAGTGGATAAAAAGCAGACCCACCTACCTTATCTTTGACTGTCTGAAGGCTTTGCTGTAGCCAGCTCCTCCACCAGCCTCCATCTTCCCTATTACAGGACAAACATATGAAGCTGAAATTGGGAATTTTACATAATAAACGCAAGACAAAGAATGCAGAACAGTCAGCTACTGCAGCAAATCCTACAACGGCAGCCTTTGTTTCTATGAAATGTTAACAGAATCTTTTTCCAACCCCAATTCAGGACCTTCCCTTTCAAGAGCCAATGCAGAAACACCTTAAAATCAGTGCAGTACTACACTTGTGTCCTTGGCTTGGCCTCCTCTTGCCACAAATAGAATAATAATTTAAATTCTTAGGCACAAGTTCCAAAGATTTCAAAACTTGTGCTACACTTTCAAGCACTACTGCAGACCAAGGCCCCCATTTTTCTCATGAATTGTTACACATTACCTCCTTCCTTCTCTCTCTTTGCCCTTTCTCAACATTACCTCCCAAAATAACCAATTACAAAATAAAAAGCACTTTAACAACTTAGCAGGTAATTAAATACTTATTCAAGTTTCAGGGAATATTATTGAACTCCTACAACATGATGTGAACGATGCAAAAAATGTAATACAAACTCAAGCCTCCTTTTACTAGAAATCTATGAAAAAGGGTATGAACAAAATAATCACTCAGGCTTTTACAGCACACAGCCTCAAAGACATACAAGTGAATTAGAGGTTCCTGTGCCACCTGTTTAAATCATATAATTTAGTTTGGGGAGTAGTGAAAGAATGTGGATTTACTGGTTCCCTCCTCCCACACACAGCCTTTTTAGTTTGCCACAATTAATACATCATCATGGAACACACTATTACCACAAACATATTCTAGTGCTACTTTAGAGTTCTGTATATAAATGACTATACAAGTGGTCTAACAGCAGGGCTTGGCCAAGCAACCTTTGATTCAAAGCCTTCCTCAAACCATTAAACCCCCTGCATAGCAATCAACTGCACTTCAATCTCCATGCCCCCACCATCTGTCACACTAAGGTACTACCTTACAAGGCAGCTCAACAGATGCACATGGCAAGAAAGGTAAAGCGAGTCAGTGATGAATAATCTCATATATTAACAACAGACCTACAAAATGGGTCAGACTGCAACACAGTGGCTTACCCAAGGCTGCCAGAGAGTCTGAACCCAAGTCCCACACATCCAAACACATCATTTGAGGTGCTGTAACAAAGCAGATGTTTTTCAGGACCCTCTTTTCCAGTTGTCCCCAGTTATGCCCACTTTGACAATTCTGAGGCCTCACCGCACTATTAACCCCGAATTCCTAGATGTCTTCCTAATACAGCCAACGCTGCCCTACCCCCAAGCAATCCTAAACTGGCCCCCCATACCATACAGTACAATCCTACCTTTCTCCTCCGCAACCTGTTCCCCTGAAAAACCCACACTTCATCTTCTGGCTTCGCGACCACCGCCAGGGCTGCCTCTACAAAACAAGGGTGCCCAGACTCAAGAGGGAGGGGGCGGGGCTAACAACACTAACTCAGGGCCAAGGAACGCACTCTATGAATTACCAGCGGTACTCCTTCCTGCCTAATTAGTCCAGGGGTCCCGAGGCGGAGCTCTGGCACAACCTCCCGCCCCTCCTCCTCATTCGCCCCCAGGTCTCCCCCACCCCAGTCGCAAAGGCACCACTCCCAGCGATACCAGTTACGCTCACCCTTCCGCCATCTTGGCCGTCTGACGTCACCAATATTTACTGACCTTTGACACCCAGCAGAAGCCCCGCCCTTTTGACGCAGCAACCGCCACTACTTCCGGGGGATCCCCCACTTTCTCTCATTCGGGCTATCACAACTTCAGTGTTACCATAGAAACACTTCCGGCTTCCACGATAGAGAGCTCTGGGTAGAGTGGGTTACACATCCAAGTAGAAAAGCCTTTTGGCGATGCCGTTGTTTTCGCATTATGCTCCTCACACGGGCGGCTGTCAAAAGGAACCCGGAAGTGAGGGCTGGAGTGGGGAGCGTCTTCTCTCACTCTCTTTTTAATCTGTATGTTTCTCCTTGGTTTGGTCGGCCTCTGTGGATACGGCCACTGCCGAGGGCAAAAAATGTTCGCGCGAAGCACGTTCAGCGTTTTCCTCCCTTCTCTCTGCAGCATCGAGGCGGAGCCGGGAGAAAGGTCCTCCCCTTTCCCCTCCCTGGAGTTTACGAAGGAAATTCCGTAGCCCCGTTGAAGTTAGCATTCTGCAATCACTCGCAGCTCTTACACTTACCGGGATTTCACAATAACGCATTTAAAATATAATCTAATAGATACGTATGTATGTATGTATGTATGTATGTATGTATCATTTGCATTTTAAAACTCTCATCCCTCCTCACCCGATCTCAACATGTTTGTTGGCATCCGTCTGTCCCGAGAGACCATGGAGCATTCCTCCAGGGATGAAGTCAAACCGCTGCGTAGGCAGCACCAAAGTGACTCTCCTGGAGCGCAAGCCTGGGCAGTGGGCATGGAAAGACTAGTGCAGTGGTTACCAACTGTTGGTCCGTGGACCCCAGAGGGTCCATGTAACCCACACAGGGGGTCCGTGGCACCATTCATACAACAAAAACTAACACAGAGATATCAAAAAAATAATAACGAAAAGTAGAAAGTCCAAAAGTACTCCCTAAAGTAGGCTTTTGAAAAACAGGGGGACCGCAGTACTTAGCTAATTGGGAACCACAGCTCTAGTGGTATCTGAGGCGTTGGTTGCGGGAGGGCCTGGGTGTTCCAACCCCACAACATTCCTTATGGAGGGGCGGGCACCCACCGTTTTTTGTGCCAGGTGCGCGGAGGGAGCCCGCTGCGCCCAGCCCCGCCTGGCCCAGGAATGCTGTCCCAGCAACGCTGTATCACTGATATCAACAGGATAACTCCTGCAATCTTTACCACTAACTTCAGAAGAGCCCAACACACTTTAATAGACTATACGGTGAACCAAGGTTGTAGGGGAACTTTTCTATCCAAGAAACTTAGCAGAACAATTTTGTGCCTGTCATCTCAGAAGTAAATCCCACTGTGTTCAATGGGACTTACGGGTAAATGCGCATAGGGTTGTGACTGTGCTGACTGGGGCTGGTAGGCGCTGCGGTTCAAAACATCTGGAAGGCACCAGGGTGGCAAAGGCAGTGTAATGGGGTGACCTTTCCATTCTATCAAGCACACAAATAATCCTAGAATAATCTAGGACCAAATGCACCAGCACCTCAAGGCTCCTGCTTGTTCTCCCCACCATTTATATACAAATAAAACCAGAGGGCTTTTGTTAATGAAGGACACTCCTGTCATATGCTATATAAACAAAAAGAGCTGGTGCCCTTCATATGCTTTGAGCTTCAATCAGCCCCAGCCAGCACAGCTGTATTGTGCTAGTGCTATGGGAGCTGTTGGGAATTGTAGTTCAAAGCACCTGGAGGGCACCAGTTTTGGGAAGGCTGCCATAGTAGCTAAGAAACTCAAGTTTCCAGATAATTTGACCTGAACCCCTCTTGTCCAGCTATAATCATTAGCTTTATATTGCCATCTGTGCACATGACACTTTACAAAGAATAGACCCTTGGCCTGAAAACTACACAAGAGAGACAGCAGTGAAAGGGGAGGCAACTAGGCCTAAACTGTTCATCTCCTTTTCATCCTATCTTTCCTCCAAGGAGTGCTTGCCATCCCCAGGGAGACTTGCCTGGCACATTGGTTGTTATCTTACATACAACATAAACCCTATCTTATTCACTCAGGTCTTTGGTGGGTAATTTTAATTACTGGTTGTGGGTCACCACCACCATAATTTTAGAAATATTTTTAACTGCCACCCTAGGGAGTTCTTGCTTCTCTTATTAGTTGCACAACTAACTAAAGACTAATTTGTTTTGAGACAATTTTTAGTAGTGAGCAACAAATAATAATAATAATAATAATAATATACATAATGGCAAACTGTTCTTATTTGTAGGAGAAAGGCAGTACACAATTTGTTGAAAAGAAATAAATACATTTAAGCCATGAACATCTAGTCTTCCTTGTATCTTTAGTCTTTAGTGTGTGTTGAAATTTAGCCTATGCCTATCTTAGCAAGGCCACTCTTGTGCTCCTATATAGCTTGTGCTATTTATAGAGTAGGATGGATATTCCTCTTTTTTCTCTTTCTTTCTCATCTATCTATTCCTCCACTCCCTTGCTCCACAGGGAATTTCCAGAGGAAATACGCTTGGCTGATAAAGCAGCCAGTGAATTCATGCCATCTGCTTTCAATCAGTGACTCTCTGAGAGTCGGCTTCACACAAGTTGGTGGGTCCAATTATTCTAGCATAAGGCTACCATATACCTATATTTCAGAAAGAATGCTTAATGCAGTACACACACATATATATGTGCTAGCATTCTCCCTCCAAGCTGGGAGTAGATTTGGAGCTGTAGGGGGTATAGATTGTGGACTGGGGAAATGCTGAGTACCACCTAGTCTGCAAACTAGGGGTTGTGCCTATGATGCTGTTGCTTGTATCCTGAGAAAATTCCTTTTATCCAGAGTGTAGCCTTCTGTTATTTTACATCTCTATAGATCCCAATCACAAAACATAAATTTGTAGTAGCACATCTCTTTGTTTAAAGCACCCCTCTCCCTGGCCACAAATTCTCCCTTCCTCCTCTCCCTCCCTCCATTTGGAGTCTTTCTGGGGCAACTGCCAAGAAATGCAGCAAGCCCAGGTGGGATCCAAGGGGTAGAGGACACAGAGGGGCTTTTTGTCTGCCTTCTTCCAGCTGCTACCTTTGACAGTTGTTTTGCAGCTGCCCTCACTTAAATTATTTATTTACTTAACTACATTTGTAGAACCATATTTGTATAAGCTCAAAACATAAAATGTTCACATACAATAAAAATAACAAAATCAAACAACAAAATTCTGCCTACAAAATTCCAGCAGAAAGCATAAAACCAGATGTCTGAAAATCACACATGCACAAAACCAAAGCCACAGATTTTTTTATAAAAAACAAACAAACCCCTGAGGGAATTAAAAAAAAGTCTTCACCTGACACCAGAATGTAACCACAAATAAGCCCCCCCTTTCCCTTGTGTGCCATGTTTTTCTTTTCTAGATTATAAACCTGTAGGCTAGGGATTGCTTGTTTTGGTAGTATGTAAGCCTCTCTGGGAGCCTTTTTGGCTGAAAAGCAGGGTACAGATGCTCTAAATAAAGAATATATGATAGGGGTTTAGAGGAGTCAAAACATTTCACAAATGTACAGTGACAGGCTGATGGGAGTTGCAGCCCAAAACATCTGAAGAACACCAGGTGTCATGAACTGGCAGGACAATGAGGAGAGAGGACAACCCAACAAGATGTGTAGCCATGACTGGTACACACCGGGGCAAGCTGGGGGTGGAGAAGGAGAGGTTGGGGGCATAGAAAGTACTCAAGGCCAACAGAGGGTGGCTAGGGGATGGGGGTCAGTACACAGGAAGCAGAGGAGCAGGACTCATCCACAGAGCCAGAGGGGCCCCTGTGTCTATGAACACAGCAGGCTTGGAGGCATAAGAAGCAGCGGGGGGTAGCTGGCTATGTAGGGGCTTGTTAGCTCTGGAAGGAGGTGTGTGAGTCCTCAGCTGGAGTAAGCTCAGGAAAGGTAGGGTCACATGCTTTGTCAAACCCAGATGCTGCAGTCAACATTCATGGTATAAAATTGAAGTATAAAATTGGTATAAAAATGAAGCAGGAGGTGAGGAGGTCTGCTCAGCTTCCCACATTGAGGGACCTTGGTTTGGATGTTCTAGGAACTACAGGATTACTTTTTGGGACTGTATGTACCAGTGGAGTCTTGCTGCCAGGTGTGCTAGGGGTTCAGGACACCAGGAGGGTAAAGACTGTGCTAGAGCCTTCATACTGTTAAGGCATCACATTTTCTCAATCAACAGAAAGCAAAATTAAAACATGTTTCCCATGCAATGCTCTTTCTTAGGGCCAAGATGCTTTTGTAAAGTTTACTCACAAGTGAATCCCATTCAGCAAAGATCCTTTGGAATGTTAACTGAAAGTGTCCTCCTAGCATGTTATGCCCAATATCAGTTTGTTCCCAACCTAGGGGGTGTGTTCTATTCACAATACAACAGTTATTTAAAATTATTTCAAGAAACTGCATTATGAGCCCCTTGTGGTCCATGTGCATCAGCTGGAAAAGTGGAATAAGCCCCACCCATGGTGCTGATGCACCCAGTGGCCCTCCACACTGGTGCCATTCCGTCAGTGTATGAGGGAGGTTTATATATATGTACACTGAGATATGTGTGCAGAGATCCTCCATGCAAGGGGAGGAGGATGGCCTTGCTTGGGCCTTGCTTTGGAACTCTTCAAGTCGTTGCCCTAGAAGTGAATACAAAACTAAGCTAGATGGATCAGTGATGTGACTGAGCATCTAGACAGGTCTTTGGTCTGATCCAGCAGGACTCTTCTTAGGCATAGAAATTTATCAAATAAATATGGACCATAAAGAAGGCTGATCGGCAAAGAATTGATGCTTTTGAATTATGGTGCTGGAGGAGACTCTTGAGAGTCCCATGGACTGCAAGAAGATCAAACCTATCCATTCTTAAGGAAATCAGCCCTGAGTGCTCACTGG